CGCAGCCTGGTGCGTGACAGCACCCAGGCCAAGCGCAAGTACCAGGAGGCCAGCAAAGGTGGGTGGCAGCCCTGTACTGTCCTGACACATCCCCCAGCCTCGTCCTGCCATGCCCTCTTCTCCCCAATCCCTGGTTCTCCTCGGGCCACACCACGGGATCAGGGATGCCTGGAGCCACAGAAGCCCCGTGGGACCCATGGGCACAACCTCGGTGGGCCTGGGAGCTTGGGGGAATGCACGGGGAGCTGTGGTGCCGGGGCAGCGGGTGCCCCCATGGCCTCTCCTCGCAGACAGGGAGAGGGAAAAGGCGAAGGAGAAGTACGTGCGCAGCCTCTGGAAGCTCTACGCCCTGCACAACCAGTACGTGCTGGCTGTGCAGGCAGCCGCGCTGCACCACCACCACCACTACCAGCGGGCGCTGCCCACCCTGCACGAGTCCCTCTACAGCCTGCAGCAGGAGATGGTCCTCGCTCTGTAAGAGCCCTGCCGCCCCTCTGGGCACCCCCTTGCTTCTGCACCCCCATTCCCCTCCAGACCCAGCGACGCTCCCTCCCCCTGCTGGAGCCCCCAGCCATGCAGGCGCCGTCCTTGCCCCGTTGCCTGTGCCACACATGCCCGTCCCCTGGCACCAGATCCATTGCGGACAGGGCAGCTCGGGGCCCTTCCCCAGCACCTCATGGGGGGCAGGGGCTGTGGGGACACAGGGGCCAGGCGGCCTGGGCAGTGCGGGGCCAAGCCTGGGCTGCGGGGGTGCGGGAGGCCGGGCAGCCCCCAGCACCCGTGTGCCCGCAGGAAGGAGATACTGGGGGAGTACTACAGCATCAGCAGCCTGGTGCAGGAGGACGTGCTGGCCATACACCAGGAAATCGCCCGTGCTATCGAAGCGATCGACCCTGCCACGGAGTACAGCAGCTTTGTCCAGTGCCACAGGTAGAGATGGTGCTGCCACGGGCACCGCACCGGGTATGGCCCTGCAGGGGTGGGCACCGAGCGGAGCAGAGGGCAGCTCTGTGCCGGGTGCCCGCAGGTACGGCTGCGAGGTGCCACCAGCCGTCACCTTTGACGAGAACCTGCTGGAGGAGACGGAGAGCCTGGCGCCAGGGGAGTTGCAGCTGAACGAGCTGACTGTCGAGAGCGTCCAGCACTCGTGAGCAGGGCTGGGCTGCGGGCGGGGGGCAGGCTGGCGGGCTCATGGCTCAGCGCCCACCCAACACACACATCTCTTGCAGCCTGACGTCCATCGAGGAGGAGCTGGCGGCCACCACCGAGACTGTGAGCAGCAAGGAGCAGCGGGTGCGGGAGCTGCAGGCTGAGATCCAGGGCGAGGAGCAGGGGCTGAGGCCTGGGGAGCGGTGAGGTGCAGGGGGGCGGCGGGGCGGGGGCTGAGGTGGCAGGGGCTGACCCCGCTGCATCCCGTCCCCAGGGTGCACTTGCTGAGCAAGCGCCAGGGGCTGCAGGAGGCCCAGCAGCAGCTCCAGGGCTGCCAATGCACCCAGGCCAAGCTTCAGGCACAGCGGGATGTGCTGGCCAACAAGCTGGCGGAGCTGGGCTCCGGAGACCCCCTGCCTGCCCTGCCCCTGCAGGAGGACCGGCACTCAGTCTCCTCCGTGGTGAGTCCTCCCCACAGTGCTCCGGGAGATGTGGGGCTGGGTGACACCGGGTTCTGGCGGCCCCATGCAGGGTGCCTGCGGGGGGACAGCTCACACGTTTCCCCAGGAGCAGGAACGCAGCGGGGCCACTGCGCTGGAGACCCTCAAGAACCACATCTCGGGCATCTTCAGCCCCAAGTTCTCGGTGAGACCCTGGGCAGCTCCAGCCACCCTGCCCTGCCCAGCCACCTTGCCAAACCTCCCAGCGCCTCAGCTCCCCCATCCTCTCCTGTCGTGCCCCACAGCCCTGCTCCACGTTGCTCTCCAGCCCCTCTCCCCACCCTGCACGAGCCCCTCTGGACCCTACTCTCCCTGCCCCTGGGGGAATGACCGGTCTTGTTCTGTCCCCATCCAGCTGCCACCCCCCGTGCCCCTCATCCCGGAGGTGCAGAAGCCGCTGTGCCAGCAGGTCTGGTACCACGGGGCCATCCCACGCTCAGAGGTGCAGGAGCTGCTGAGCTGCAGCGGGGACTTCCTGGTGCGGGAGAGCCAGGGGAAGCAGGAGTATGTGCTCAGCGTGCTGTGGGACGGGCAGCCCCGGCACTTCATCATCCAGGCTGCCGACGTGAGTGACCGCAGGCGGGGGTGGCACTGGGAGCGGCCCCTGCAGTGGGCAGATGTTGGGGCCCTGCCTGTGCAGCCACAGGACACTGGTGTTAATGCACAGGATGTGTGTGTGCGGCTGCGAGCTGCGTGCATGTCCTTGCACGGACCAAGCAAGGAGCACGAGCTGTGAGCCTGCATCACGGTGTGAATGCACGCTTGTGCTGTGTGTGTGTGTGTGTACCCCCATGCATGCACCCCCCCAGGTGTGCACCTCACGCGTGCACGCAGGCACGACCCCGCAGCCTCCCCTCCCTGCAGAACTTGTACCGGCTGGAGGGGGACGGCTTCCCCACCATCCCGCTGCTCGTCGACCACCTCCTGCACAGCCAGCAGCCCATCACCCGCAAGAGCGGGATCGTCCTGGCCAGGGCCGTGCCCAAGGTGAGGGTGGGCAGCGGGAGCAGGCGAGAGCCCTGCGCAGGGCGTAGCCCCGGCCCCTTCCAGCCGCAGTGACTCATCTCTGCATGAGGGAGCTGCAGGAGCAGGAGGGGATGTGGGCTGAGGCCGCTCGCTGACCTCGGTGGCTGCTGCCTGCAGGACAAGTGGGTGCTCAACCACGAGGACGTGCTGCTGGGGGAGCGCATCGGCCGGGTGAGCTGGGTGTGAGGGTGCCAGCAGGAGGGCAGGGCTGGCCGCGGCTGCGCTGTGGCAGGCTCGGCCGGTGCATCCGTGTCTCTCGGCAGGGTAACTTTGGGGAGGTGTTCAGCGGCCGCCTGCGTGCTGACAACACCCCCGTGGCTGTGAAATCCTGCCGGGAAACCCTGCCACCTGAGCTCAAGGCCAAGTTCCTGCAGGAAGCCAGGTCTGTGTGACCGTCATGCTTGTCCTGGCCCATCTGTCTGTCCTGAGGTCTCGGGGCTGCCCAAACCCCACTGGGATTCAGCATCCCTCTGGCTGGGGGCTGTGTCCCTGCACCAGCCGGGCACAGCATCCTTGGGGTGCAGGCGGTGATGGAGCTGGTGGGGGCAGCTGGGTCCCCGTGTGCTCACGGTGCTGTTCACTGTCCCCACAGGATCCTCAAACAGTACAACCACCCCAACATAGTCCGGCTCATCGGCGTCTGCACCCAGAAGCAGCCCATTTACATCGTCATGGAGCTGGTGCAGGGTGAGCGGCCCCATCCTGCGGTCCCTGGTGCATGTGTGGGGCTCGCCCCAGTGCAAGCGTGTGAGCTCGCTGCGTGGGGCTGGGATGGCCGCCTGCCAGCTCTGTGCTGCTCCGTGCAGGGGGGGACTTCCTGAGCTTCCTGCGCAGCGAGGGGCCCCACCTGAAGGTGAAGGAGCTGATCAAGATGACAGAGAACGCTGCAGCAGGCATGGAGTACCTGGAGAGCAAGCGCTGCATCCACAGGTGGGCTGGGGGGGGGCAGCGGGGGCCGGGCAGAGCAGGGGCAGCCGGGCCCCCCCTGCTCCTGGGGACAGCTGGGTGCAGGGCTGATGGCTCTGAGCCGCCCCAGGGACCTGGCTGCCCGCAACTGCCTGGTGACCGAGAAGAACGTCCTGAAAATCAGCGACTTTGGGATGTCGCGGGAGGAGGAGGATGGGATCTACGCCTCCACAGGAGGCATGAAGCAGATCCCTGTGAAGTGGACTGCCCCCGAGGCACTGAATTACGGTACGGGCAGCACCGGGCATGGCCTGGGACCTACACAGCATTCGGGGAGGGAAAGGGGGAGGCTGTGCGGGGGGACCCAGGAGTCCGGGGGGCACTGCCCGGCACCCCGTGCGTGGTGCTGGGGTGGGAGGCAGGCAGAGCCGGGCACCCGGTGGGGCGGTGGTGACGTGGGTGTCCCCCACCGCTCGCCGCCCGGCCCGCGCCGTGTCCCCAGGCCGATACAGCTCGGAGAGCGACGTCTGGAGCTTCGGCATCCTGCTGTGGGAGGCCTTCAGCCTGGGCGCCGTCCCCTACGCCAACCTCAGCAACCAGCAGACCCGCGAGGCCGTGGAGCAGGGTGAGGGTGGCGGCGGGGCCGCGAGTCCCCCCCCAAACCGGGGCCTCCGGGGCCTCCGGAGCTGGGGCCGGTGCCGCGGCCGGCCCGACCCCAGCGCTGCCCCCCCGCAGGCGTGCGGCTGGAGCCCCCCGAGCTGTGCCCCGAGGAGCTGTACCGCCTGATGCAGCGCTGCTGGGACTACGACCCCCGCCGGCGGCCCAGCTTCAGCGCCGTGCACCAGGAGCTCATCGCCATCCGCAAGCGGCACCGCTGAAGGGCAGCTCCGCGGCCGGGCCCCCCGGGGCAGCGGGGGCCGGGGGCGGTGTCGGGCGCGTGCGGGCGGCTCCGGGCAATAAACGTGGGCTCCGCAGCGCTGCGTCTGTCCTGGGCACGGGGCGCGGGGCACCGGGGAACGCGGGGGGCGGCCGGGCCCGGCGGCGGCCGCTCGGCCCCGGGGTCGCGGAGCTCCAGCGGCGGCGGGGCGGGGGCGGGGGCGGGGGCGGGGGCCGGGGCCGTGCGGGCGGGGCGGGGCGGGGCCAGGCCCATCCCGGCCGCGGCAGGCGGCGGGGCCCGGGCGGGGCGAGCGGCGGGGCCGGGCCGCGGAGCCGCGCAGGGTAAGAGCGCAGCGGGGGGGCAGCCCCGGGCCGGGAGCCCCCGCGCCCCTCCGCTCCCCCACCCCGCCCCCGGGCCGCGCCGAGCCCCCCCCCCCCCTACCGGCCGCCGGCCCCGCGGCCTGCCCGGCCCCGCCCGCTCCGCTCCGCTCGGCGCCGCCTCCCCCAGCGCAGCCCCCGGCCTGCTCCGGGCCGCCCCCGGCTCCCCCCGGCTCCCCCGGCCTGCAACGGGCCCGGCTCCTCCCGGTTCCCCCCCCGGGCTGCCCGTCGCGGGGCCGGGCCCCAGCAGCCCCCCCGGGGCCGTTCCGCCGGCGCTGCCCGGTGTCGCTGCCCGGTGTCGCTGCCGGTCCCCGCATCGCGGCCGGCGGGCACGGGGCGGCCGCTCCCGGTGCGCCCCCCGCAGGCCCGGCCCCGCGGCCCTCCGGGATGAAGCTGAAGAAGCAGGTGACGGTGTGCGGCGCTGCCATCTTCTGCGTGGCCGTCTTCTCCCTCTACCTGATGCTGGACCGGGTGCAGCACGACCCCGCGCGCCACCAGAGCGGCGGCAACTTCCCCAGGGTGAGCGGCGGGCGAGGGGCGGCCCAGGGCCGGGCTGGCTGCGGGGCCCGGCACCAGGCCCGGTGCCCGGGGCAGGGCTCGTCCCCCGCTGCCGAGAGCCCCCGAGCCGGGGCAGCCCCGAGCCGGGGCAGCGTGCTCACCGCAGCGCCCGTGTCCCCAGAGCCAGATCTCGGTGCTGCAGAACCGCATCGAGCAGCTGGAGCAGCTGCTGGAGGAGAACCACGAGATCATCAGCCACATCAAGGACTCGGTGCTGGAGCTGACGGCCCACGCCGAGGGACAGCCGGCGCCGCCCCGACACCCACCCAACAGCTCCTGGGCGCTGCCCCCTGAGAGTCGCCCCAGCTTCCTCTCCGTGTCCCCGCAGGACTGCCAGTTTGCCCTGGGGGGCAAGGGCCAGAGCCCAGACCTGCAGGTGAGGGGCTGGGGTCTCGGTGCAGCAGCGAGCACAGGGGGCGAGGGGCCCAGCCCTGTGATGGTGAGGGGATGCGCAGCAGGGCGCCTGCAGGCACCTGCCCGGTCCGGTGCCTGCCCCCTGAGCTCGCTGTCCCCTGGCAGATGCTGGCCGTGTACTCCCTGCTGCCCTTTGACAACCAGGATGGCGGGGTGTGGAAGCAGGGCTTTGATATCACCTATGAGCCCAATGAGTGGGACGCTGAGCCCCTGCAGGTGTTTGTGGTGCCGCACTCCCACAATGACCCCGGTGAGCAGAGGCAGCGCGTGTTCCCCCAGCCCCTGCCCTGCTGGCTGGGGAGGGCTGGGCCCCGCTCAGTGACCCCCCCCGTGTGCTGGCAGGCTGGATCAAGACATTTGACAAGTACTACTATGACCAGACACAGCACATCCTCAACAGCATGGTGCTGAAGATGCAGGAGGACCCCCGCCGGCGCTTCATCTGGTCTGAGATCTCCTTCTTCTCCAAGTGGTGGGACAACATCAGTGCCCAGAAGCGGGCTGCGGTGCGGAGGTAGGGCTGCCCCAGCTGCCGGGCCCTGCCGCCTGGAGGAGGTGCTGGGTGTGGGTGAGGGGGGTGTAAGGGAAGGGCCCTTTGCTCCCCGGACTCAGTTCTGGCTGCAGCGTGGTGTCCATGGGCTCCACGCAGCTCCCAACTGGAGTGTGGGGAGAGCGTGGGCATCGCACCGCAGCTGGCGATCACAGAGGCTGCTGCCGAGAGCCAGGTGGCTCTAGGAGAGGGGGAGGCTCTGCCATGGGTACGTGGCTGACCGCAGGGCCCTGCCCCGAGCTGACCACGTCTCTGGTGTGTGTTTCTCGCAGGCTGGTTGGGAACGGGCAGCTGGAGATGGTGACGGGTGGCTGGGTGATGCCCGACGAGGCCAATTCCCACTACTTCGCCATGATCGACCAGCTGATCGAGGGGCACCAGTGGCTGGAGAAGAACATCGGTGAGAGCTGGGTGGGCTGCAGGGGTGCTGGCTGGGGGCGCTGCTCACAAGAGGTGCTGACGGGTCTCTGTGCCCCCAGGCGTGACGCCGCGGTCGGGCTGGGCCGTTGACCCCTTTGGGTACAGCTCCACCATGCCCTACCTGCTGAAGCGCTCCAACCTGACGGGCATGCTCATCCAGCGCGTGCACTACGCCATCAAGAAGCACTTTGCTGCCACGCAGAACCTGGAGTTCATGTGGAGACAGGCGTGGGGTGAGAGCTGCGGGAGGTGACCGCAGCAGCGGACCTGCCTGGGGTGGGTGGCAGCAGAGGAAAGCTGCTGAACACTTCCCTGTGTGGCCAGTGAGCCGAGTGCCGGGAGGCGATGCCTCTGCCCTGCAGTGGGCAGCCCCGAGGGGACCCCCAAATGTGCCGGTGCCTGGTGCTCGGCGAACTTGTGTGCTGGGTCTGCTCTGCCCCCCCTCGGTGTGCCCTGCGCCCTCTGCTAGGGGCCAGGTGAGGGAGAGCCTCTGCTGATGCTCATCTGTCCTCGGTCCTGCAGACCCAGACTCCAGCACTGACATCTTCTGCCACATGATGCCCTTCTACAGCTATGACGTGCCCCATACCTGCGGGCCCGATCCCAAGATCTGCTGCCAGTTCGACTTCAAGCGCCTGCCAGGCGGCCGGATCAACTGCCCATGGAAGGTGCCGCCCCGCGCCATCACCGAGGCCAACGTGGCAGAGCGGTGAGTGCGGCGAGGGCAGGGCGAGTGGCTCCGAGCCCCGCAGCCCGGCCTCCGGTAGCCAGCCTCACGCCCTGGCCCCGTGGCAGAGCCCAGCTGCTGCTGGACCAGTACCGCAAGAAGTCCAAGCTGTACCGCAGCAAGGTGCTGCTGGTGCCCCTGGGGGACGATTTCCGCTACGACAAGCCGCAGGAGTGGGACGCTCAGTTCCTCAACTACCAGCGCATCTTTGACTTCCTCAACTCCCAGCCCCACCTCCACGTGCAGGTCGGTGCCGGGAGCTTTGGGGCCGCCGAAGGGCCCCGTGTGCCTGGGGCAGCCTGGGCAGGGGTGTGCAGAGCGGGGAGGGGTGTGGGGCTCCCCGCAGCACTCAGAGCTGCGTGTGCTGTCCCGCAGGCGCAGTTCGGGACGCTGTCCGACTACTTTGATGCCCTCTACAAGAAGGTGGGCATTGTGCCGGGCATGAAGCCGCCTGGGTTCCCAGTGCTGAGTGGCGATTTCTTCTCCTACGCGGACCGGGAGGATCACTACTGGACGGGCTACTTCACCTCCCGGCCTTTCTACAAGAGCCTGGACCGCGTGCTGGAGACCCACCTCCGGTGAGGGGAAGCAGGCTGGGGCCCTGGGGCAGGGGTGGTGCGTGGGGCACGGGGTGCAGGATGGTGCAGGCTGGGTGGCACCCGCAGCCCCAGCCTTCGCCCTGGCCTGTGCCCAGACACCGGTGTGCTGGGGATGGCCCAGGCACGGCTTGGGGGGGTGATGCTTCTGCCCTGCTGGCACTGAGGCTGCCTGTGCCGGCTGCTCCTCTCTTCTCGTCTGCGTCCTGGCCCCGTGGGGCCCGGGGGTGCTGGCGGGTCCTGGGTGACTCTGTCCCTGCGCAGGGGGGCAGAGATCCTGTACAGCCTGGCGCTCGCCCACGCCCGCCGTGCCGGTGCCGACAGCCGCTACCCGCTGTCCGACTACGCCCTGCTGACCAACGCCCGCCGCAACCTGGGGCTCTTCCAGCACCACGACGCCATCACGGGCACTGCCAAGGAGGCCGTGGTGGTCGACTATGGAGTCCGGTGCGTGCGGGTGGCTGCGGCACAGCCCGGGGGCCCGGCTGGGGGCTGGTGGGTGTGGGGCTGGGCGTGCTGGCTGGGCCCCAGTGGGATGTGGGGACGGTGTAGGGGGATGCTGGGAGGGGGCAGAGGGGATGGTCCTGGGTGTCTCACTGCCCGCTGCTCCAGGCTGCTGCACTCCCTCTCGAGCCTCAAACGCGTCATCATCAACGCTGCGCACTACCTGGTGCTGGGGGACAAGGACGCCTACCGCTACGACCCTGCTGCCCCCTTTCTCAGCACGGTGAGCAGCTCCCTGCCCCGAGGCTCCCCACGTCCCAGCCTCGTGCTGGGGTCTCCGTGCCCTTTCCCGTGCGGCACAGCACCACCTGCCCACCCACTGCTGGCTGGGGCCCTGGGGGAGCTGCTGCAGCCCCCAGGCACACCCCTGGCCAGGCGGGCTGGGGGCGGTGGGGACGCTGTGGCTGACCTGCTGCTTCCCCTAGGATGACACACGCCTCAACCAGGACTCGCTCCCAGAGAGAACAGTCATCAAGCTGGGCGCCTCGCCACGGTAGGGCTGCACACTGCGCTGTGGCTGCCTCCTCCTGTCTGGCAGCGGGGTCTCGTGGGGGAAGCGGGAGGCGATGTGGGGACCACTTGTGGGGGCACCTGGAGCTCTGTGAAGCAGCCTTTGTGTGTGCAGCTCGGGGGGTGCTGTGGAGCGCAGGGTGTGTGGGACACCTTGGGGCTGGGGGTGGCCGTCCTGGTGCATCTCTGCCCTGCAGATTCCTGGTTGTGTTCAACCCGCTGGAGCAGGAGCGCCTGAGCGTCGTGCTGGTGCTGGTGGACACCCCGCATGTGCGCGTGCTGTCTGAGGAGGGGCAGCCCCTGCCTGCCCAGCTCACTGCACAGTGGGGCTCCGCCACCAACGTGGTGCCCGACGTCTACCAGGTATGGGTGCCCCGCCACCCGCTGCCGCCCCTGTCCTCGCCCTGCACAGCCCGTGTGTGCCAGCCTCCCGCCCTCACACGCCGACACGCCACCAAATGAGTGTTTCTGCACCACAGCGGGAGCTCCCACGGCACGCAAGACCCCAGGCTCCCACGCACATCCACCACCACAGAGACCCCAAAAACGGGGCCCGTGTGCTGCTGGCAGCCAGTAGGTTTGCTGCCTGCCAGGGAAGCCCTCAGTCACGTCTCCCTGCTGCCCGCAGGTCTCCGTGCTGGCCCGCCTGCCCGCGCTGGGGCTGCGTGTGCTGCAGCTGCAGAAGTCCTTCGATGGCCAAGCCGTGCTGAAGTCCTCTGTGCGCCTGTACCTGCACGGCCGGGACCTGCCCGTGCGCAAGCAGGAGGCTGTACCTGTGCACGTCTTCCCGACCGCTCCTGACGACTTCTGCCTGGAGAACCAGCACCTGCGGGCCTGCTTCTCGGGGCACTCAGGCCTGCTGCAGGCAAGCACAGGGCCTGGGGGTGGCACGGAGGTGAAGGAGGGCAGGGTGCACAGCTCTGCCTCGGGCAGGCTGCGCTCACTGCCCTGCCGGCCTGCGCCCTGCAGAGCCTCCGCCGAGCTGGGGAGGAGCGGGAGCAGAGGGTGAGCAGCGAGTTCCTTGTCTATGGCACCAGGACCTCCAAGGACAAAAGTGGAGCCTATCTCTTCCTGCCCGATGGCGAGGCCAAGGTATGGGGGCCTCCTTTGGGAGCCTGGCCGGCGGCTGTGCCAACAGCCATGGGACAGTCCTGGAGGCAGCAGCCTCACTGCAGCCTCCTCCCCCCACAGCCTTACACACCCAAGGAGCCCCCAGTTGTGCGAGTGACAGAGGGACCCTTCTTCTCAGAGGTTTCCAGCTACTACCAGCATGTCCAGACCGTGGTGCGGCTTTACAACGTGCCAGGTGGGACAAGTGGGGCTGTGCCAGGGCGCTCCCCAGCCCGGGGCCGCTGGCCGAGGCTCCGTGCGGGGCCCAGCCGCTCACTGCTGGCCCACAGGGGTGGAGGGCCTGTCCCTGGACGTGTCTTGCCTGGTGGACATCCGTGACCACGTCAACAAGGAGCTGGCCTTGCGCTTCAGCACGGACATCGAGAGCGAGGACACCTTCTTCACAGACCTCAACGGCTTCCAGGTGTGCCAGCAGCCCGGGGAGGGACGGCAGCTGCCCGTGGGGGCAGTGCTTTGCCCCCCAGCCCCTGACCCCCTGTCCCTCGACAGATCCAGCCCCGCAGGTACCAGCAGAAGCTGCCGCTGCAGGCCAATTTCTACCCCATGCCCGCCATGGCCTACATCCAGGACATGCAGAGCCGCCTGACGCTGCACACAGCCCAGGCCCTGGGGGTCTCCAGCCTCAGCAGCGGTGAGCCGGGGCCGGGGGCTGTGCCGCTGGGGGGCTCGGGGGGCTGCTGGCGGTTGCTAACGCCCGGGGCTCGGGGCCCGCTCTCCGCAGGCCAGCTGGAGGTGATCCTGGACCGGCGCCTCATGCAGGATGACAACCGGGGCCTGGGCCAAGGGCTGAAGGACAACAAGAGGACCTGCAACCGCTTCCGCCTCCTCCTGGAGCGCCGCGCCACTGCCAACAAGGTGCGTGGGCTGGGGGCGCCGCGGGACTTTGGGGGTCAGGGGCAGCGCTGCTGGGGAGCAGAGCCCAGCCCTGCCTCGGGATGCTGTGGGACAGTGGTGCACACAGAGCCGGGGGTGCAGCCGGGTGCGGGGTGCCCTCCCTGCACCTCCCGGCCCTCCCGGCCACCACGCTGGCACCTCAGAGGGACGGGGCCGTGCCCAGAGTGGGGTGTGCAGGGAGGGCAGGACTGCGTGGCGGGGTCTGCCCCGCGTGTGGGGGCACGGAGCCCTCGTAATCACCGTGTTCTCATCCCATCCCTCGTTGCTCTCGATCCACGCACCATTGCACCCACTCAGAGCTCCAGCTTCTTTTCCAAACTGGCCTCCGTGTTTAAAGCTTTGGGCTTCCCTGGCGCCAGGACTGGCAGCCCAGAGGTAACGGCCGGCCCGGCCCTGCCGCCCCCTGTCTCGTGCAGTAGCTGCTAGCGACTAGCCAGGCCCTAGCGGGCTCGTAGCCTCACCAGAGCCCAGCCGGAGCCGCGCAGGCCGTGTGGTGCGGCTGCTCTTTGGGTGCTGGGGAAGGAGGGGCCATGCCTGGAGGCTCTGGGTACCCAGTGCCTGTCCTCTGGGTGCCGCTGGAGAGGGCACCCAAAAAGGAGCGGGTGGCCCCGCAGGCCCTGGTGGGCTGTGCCTGGACCCGCAGCCGCCTGGCTCGCGCTGACCGCTTGCTCTTTGCCAGGCGCAGGACGGCCGCCCGGTCAGCTTCCCCTCCCTGCTGAGCCACATCACCTCCATGCACCTGAACGCCGAGCCTCTGGTCCTGCCGGTGGCCCAGGAGAAGCCAGCCCCGCCGGCCCTGCGCTCCTTCATGCCCCTTGCTGCCACCGTCCCCTGTGACTTCCACATCCTCAACCTGCGGACGCTGCAGGCAGAGGTGAGCCGTGGGCAGGTGGCGGGGGGCTCGCAGGGGTCCCCAGCACCGTGCCTCATGGCCCCGCTGCCAGCAGGACGACTCGCTACCCTCGGCCGAGGCAGCCCTGATCCTGCACCGCAAAGGCTTTGACTGCAGCCTGGAGGCCAGGAACCTGGGGTTTAACTGCACCACCACCCAGGGCAAGGTAGGAGCTGCCGCCTGCACCCTCGTGGGGTCAGAGCTGGGCTGTGGCACCCTGGCACATCTGGCACCAGGCCTGCCTCGAGCATCCTGGGCTCCTGCCAAGCCAGGATTGGGGTGGGAGGGAGGGGCCCCCCTGAAGCCCAGAACCTGTGGCAGTTCAAGGGTCCCACAACGAAGCAGGCAGTCCTGCTCTGCCCCTTTTGCAGGCAAAGCTGGAGGACACTGGTTTTGCAGGAAGGGGGACTGGGGTCTGGCATGGGCCCTGCACCCTCTGATGAGGGAGGGGAAAGCCTGGGCTGGGTCAGCGCAGGAAGCCGGGTGCCCACGCCACCTGCCCTCCTCCTGCTCTCTCCCTAGCTGGCGCTGGGCAGCCTGTTCCAGGGGCTGGAGCTGGGCTCCCTGCAGCCCACCTCGCTCACCCTGATGTACCCGCTGGGCACGGCCTCCAACAGCACCACCATCCGCCTGGACCCCATGGAAATCGCCACCTTCCGCGTCCGCCTGGGGTAGCGCGTCCTGGGGCGGGGAGGAGCAGACTGGCTGTGTGCTGCTGGAGCAGCCGCCGAGCCCCGCAGAGGCTGCGCCGGCAGGCCCGTGGCAGGCAGGAGGTGCCGGACCTGCACAGGCTGCTGCCTTCTTAATTTATTAGTCCTGTGTTCTCAGATAGATTTCGGACAGTGAGCTGCTGCGGCAGGGCTGCGCGGAGGCTGCTGGATGCTGCCTGGTGCAGAGGGCATGGGCTGGGCGCTGCTCTGAGCGGAGCAGGGCTGGCGGGGCAGCGGGACCGGCTGCTGTGTGCCCGCCGTGCAGCCCTGGGCAGGGGCCCTGCTGGCGCCTGGGCTCCCACGGACCCGCAGGGCAGCACGTGGGCTGGCAGCAGCCCAGCCGGGCAGGCGCTATGGACTGGAGACTGAGCTCGCCTGGAGCTTGTAGGAAACATGAGGCTGTTTCCAGGAGCCCCGGCCTGTGTCTGCTTTGTGGTTCTTGCACTGGTGGCGCTGGGCAGCAGGAGGGGGGCTCTGCGGGGAGAGGGGAGGCTCTGGGCTGTGCCCTGCGCCCAGGCGGGCTGGGAGGGCTGCGGGCGGCTGGTGCTGTGCCTGCTCTGCACCACGCGGCCCCTGTCCTGCCCCTGCTCCCCCAGCTGAGCAGGGTGGGGGGCCCTGGGAGCTCATTCCCTGGTGGCATGGCCGGGAAAGCCATGCGCAAAGACAAGGCGGTGCCGGGGTGAGTGTGGGGTGAGCATGGGGATGAGCATGGGTATGACCTCTCCCAGCGGTGCTGCAGTGCCTGCCCATCTGGGGGTCGCCCAGACCACCTGTGTGTACAAGCTGGTGGCAGTGCCAAAGCGCCTCGGGTCTGTGGTGGCTCAGAGGCTGCGGGAAGCCGCGTTGCATCCCGGTTGCTGTGGATGCTGCACTCCCTGACCCCCCCCGGGGCTAATTATTACTGCTGGGGCACTGGTGGGCTGGGCTGTGGCACCCTGGGGAGGGCTGGGGGAGGAGGTGGTGCTGTCTGAGCTCCGTCTCGCTTTCCTTGCACCCCCCAGGCTCAGCCATGCGCAGCCACAGAGAGGGGCAGAGCACCTGGAGGCAGCGTGCTGCGGGCACAGGGCAGCACGCCCCTCGCACCACTGCTGCTCAAGGTCCCTGGCTGTGGGGCACAAGGTGCCGGGGGGCGGGCGGGAGCTGGCTGGGTCCTGCCCCTCTGCAGGGCACGCGTGTGTCCATGGTGCCTCTGTCAGAGCCTGGCTAATGGCACAGCTGGCCAGGGGCCAGGCTGCTGCCTGCTGGGGCTCTCCTGCTGCCCGAGGGGCTGCGGCACAGCCTGCCCACTGCCCCGCAGCCACGGTGCGCTCACCCTGTGCCTGTCTGGCCTGCAGCCCTCATCCCTCAGCCAGGATCCTGGTCAGGGCTGAGGTGCCCGGTGAGGGCTGCTGGACCTGCTGCCAGGTGGGGATGGTGCCTCCGGTCCCGGTGCTTGGCCCTGGAGAAGCTCATTAGCGATGCTCCCGCCTCCTGCCCGCGGTCCCTGCGGAGCGGGGCAGTGAGTGCAGGAGGCTCTAATGGCTCCACGAGGCTCCTGATGGGCCGCAATGGAGGCGGGAGCAGGAGGGGCTGTGGTTTCTGCCTCAGACAGCGCCGGAGCTGCCTCTGCCCAGGGATGGCGGGGAAGATGCCGGGTGGGCTCCTGCTCCGGCTGCTCCTCGCCGCTGCTCTGTGCCCCGGCATCCTCGGGACAGGTACGGCCCCTTTGCCCCTGCTCCCTGAGGCTGGGGTAGGCACTGCCCATCCGACCCCTCTTGGCTGGGACCACGTCCCCTGGGCTGCTCCCCACCATCCCCAGCTGGAGGCTGTGCGGTCAGGGCGGGGAGGCAGTGGTCCGTGCTGGGGATGGGAGCCAGGGGTGGTGGTGCCGGAGCTGGTCCCGCTGCAGCACAGCTGTGGGGTGAGAGGCACTGCCCTTGTGGGGCAGGGGGAACCAGGGAGACCAGCACTGGGCTGCCGGGCTGGGCTTTGCCCTCCCCTCCTGCTCGTGCCCTTCCCTGGGAGCGTGCCGGTGCCGCAGCCCCGTGCCCACCGCTCCTGCCGCAGCCTCGGTGCAGAACCTGCACCTCTGCGAGGGCTACGCCGGCCCCGACGGCCGCTACCACCCCGGCTTCTACTGCCCGCGCCTCACCGACCCGGCCACGCACCGGTACTGCTGCCGGCACGGCCCCCACGCCCTCAAGTCCTGCTGCTCACAGGGGGCTGTGGAGGCCCTCACCGGGGTGAACCTCTCCAGCCTCCCCGTGCCTGGCCTCCTCCGGTGAGCGGGGCCGGGAGGGGTGGCGGGGGGCTGCGGGGCTGGCAGCACAGCCCTGGGGGGGGGCTGGCACTTGGGGGTGCCTGGTGCTGAGCTGCCCCCGGTGCCCCCGGTGCTGAGCTGCCCCCACCCGCAGGAACCCCCTGGCCCTGCCCTTCGTGGGGCTCTACGGGCTCCTGGTCCTCGTCCTCATGGCCCTCGACCTCGTCCACTTCTACCGCACCAAGCGCTGCAGCCTCGGCCGCCTCCTGCCCTGCGGCCGTTGCCCTCCCCGCGGCTCCCCGGCCCCCGGGGGGCTCCTGGCGCCCGGCCCCGCAGCCCCGGCCCCCCGTGCTCCTGGGGGGCGGCGTAGGGGTCCCAGTGGCTGCTGCCTCTGGGGGACCCGAGGGCTGGGGGGGCGGCACTAGGGGGTGGGGGGGCCGGGGGGGCAGTGGGGTCACAGGGGGTGGGGGGCACGGGGGCGGTACCGGGGGCACCGGGGGTCGCGCGGGGTCAGCGGGGGTCGCGGGGGGGCCCCGCCCTGCGCTGGCACCTCCGGGCCGCGGGGGGGCGCTGGGGGCTGCGCCCGGCCCCGGCCCCCTCCCCTCCCGTCCCCTCTCGTCACGTGACGCGGGCGGCGGCGTCCGGGTTCCCCGGGCGATCGGCGGTGACGTCACTGCGCGGCCGGAGCGGCCATGGAGGAGGCGGTGAGGGGGGGACGGGACGGGACCGGGACGGGAGGGGACTGGGACCGGGATTGGGGACGGGAGCGGGACCAGGACCGGGATCGGGATGAATTTGGGGCAGGACGGGACGGGACCGGGACGGGAACGGGACGGGAACGGGACGGGGCGGGGCGGAATGGGAACGGACGGGACGGGAGGGGACGGGACCGGGACCGGGCTGGATTCGGGGCGGCACCGGACGGGGCCGGGGCCGGGGCCGGGATCGGGATCGGGGCCGGGATCGGGCTCGGGCTGTGCTCGGGGCCGGGCCGGGGCTTGGGAACAGCGCGGGGCAGGCCGGGGCTCGGGGCCGGGCCGGGGCTCGCGGCGGGGCTCGGGGCCGGGCCGTGTTGGGGGAGCGGTGCCGGTCGCGGCCCCGTGCCCTGGTGCCAGGCGCTGCCGTGCAGGTGTCGGCGGGGCGGCTGCGGGAGGAGGGCAACGCGCTGTTCCAGGCCGGGCAGCACCGCGCCGCCCTGGCCGCCTACACGCGGGCGCTGAGCCTCGACTGCAGCGGGCCCGAGCGCGCCGTGCTGCACCGCAACCGGGCCGCCTGCCACCTCAAACTGGTGCGTGGGGACGGGGTGGGACGGGGTGGGATAGGCTGGGCCGTGCCGGGCTGCCCGGGGCCGTGCCGGGCCGTCCTGTGCTGCCGGCTGGGCCGGGCAGGGCCGGGCACCCTGCGCTGCCGGCTGAGCACCCGCACAGCGCCGCCAGCCCCCGGGCCAGGCGCTGATCCCTCCTCTCACCCCTTCCCCTGCCCCCAGCCCCCGGCTGTCTCTGTCCCATCTCCCCAGGGGCCGCTGTCCCCAGCCGGGGCGTGCAGCCACTCTGGGTGTGCCCCCAGCCAGTCGCAGTGCCTTTGATTTCCCGTCACAAACCATGCCTGGAGCAGGGGGAAGCACTGAGAGCCTCAGGGGCTCAGAGGGGCAGGGAGCACCACCACAGTGGGCACACGGAGAGCACGGGGCTTTAGGGCTCCTCAGGGACCCCCGAGGGCTGTGCTCTGGGAAGGGCAGGGCACCCGACCTCTGGTCCCCAGTTCCCAGTGACACTGTTTTCCCCCCCCAACCCCCCAACTGTTTCCCTGCTCTCCTCTCAGCGGTGGGTGCAGCAGGCGGGGTGAATGCAGCCTGCACGGACGGTGTGCCAGGCGCCTCCTTCTCACCCGCTCTCTCCCTGCAGGAGGACTATGCCGAGGCGGAGGCCGATGCATCTAAAGGTACTGCCAGGGGTAGCCGGCAGGGACCGGCCGCTGTGTGCCACCTGCCAAGGCAGCCCGGGGCACGCCAGGGGCTTTGCGATCGCTCCCTCGCTCTCCTGCAGCCATTGAAGCCGACGGCCGGGACACGAAGGCGCTGTTCCGCCGAAGCCAGGCTCTGCAGAAGCTGGGCCGCTTGGACCAGGCTATCAGCGACCTGCAGAGGTGCATCAGCCTGGAGCCCAAGAACAAGGCCTTCCAGGAGGCCTTGCGTGCCCTGGGAAGCAGCATGCACGAGAAGGTGAGGGGCAAGATGCTGTGGGGTGGCTGCTGCTGCGCATCCCTGCGGGTACGGTGGGTGCAGGGGGAGCAAGGGCTGAGCTGCTCTTTCTGGTCTGTCTCAGATGAAGACCATGTCCTGCACGGACTCAAAGGTGGAGCAGATGTTCCAGATCTTGCTGGATCCTGAAGAAAAAGATGCCGACAAGAAGCAGAAGGTCTGAACTCCAGGGAACGGGGGGCAACGTGACTTGGGTGTTGGGCAAGGAGTGGAGGAGTCATGCCCAGGTCGGCACTGCTGCGCTGTGCTGTCCTGGGAGCCCAGGCTTTCTGCCAGCAGAACACGCTCCTTGGAGACTGGGAGTGGGTCTGGGTGCCTGTGGCTGCCCCAAGGGCTCCCACATGAGGTTCCCTGTGTGCAGGGAGTCTGTTCTGGACTGTTCTGGAGGGTGGGTGACCCAAACGTGCCTCTCTTCTCCTAGGCGGCTCAGAACCTGATTGTGCTGGCGCGAGAGGAGGCTGGAGCAGAAAAAATCTTCCAAAGTGATGGTGTGCGGCTGCTGACGCGGCTGCTTGACACGGCCAAGGCTGACTTGATGCTGGCAGCCCTGCGCACCCTGGTGGGGCTGTGCTCCGGGCACCGCTCCCGGGTAGGTGCCACGGGAGCTCGGCCCTCCTGCGTGCGGGGACCACGGGGACATTTGTGCTGGGCAGGCTCTGAAGTACGGCGGGCTGGGGAGCACTGATGGCTTTGCCTGTGTTGTGCTGTAGCCCTGCTGCTAAACAGCGGAGCTCTAAGCTGTCACCTGCCAGGCCTGAGCTGTGAGAGCCTTGTTGTGGAGGGGAACAGCTCTCAGGAGATGCTGGGGAGTGCCGGGTTTTCCCCCAAAGTCCCCAGCAGGCGCCTGTGCTTGTACCTGCAGACCATGGCCATCCTGGCGGAGCTGGGGGCCCCGCGCCTCTCGGCAGTGCTGGGTGTGGAGCACGAGCAGGTTTCCCTGGCTGCCTGCAACCTTCTGCACGTCATGTTCGATTCCCTGAGGGAGGGACTGCAGAAGGACTTCCGTGGCAAGGAGGACGCGGTGGTGCTGGGTGAGTGGCTGCTGCCCCAGCTGGTGTGGGCAGGCGCTGAGCTGCGGTGGGTTCTGCTGCTCCCTGCCTCTGGGCCTGGATTTACACAGGCTTGAGCTGGGGGTCAGGATCCCCTGATCCCAGCAGCTCCTGCTGGCCTTACCACTGATGGGGTGAGGGCTGTGTGCAGGGCACTGACCGCTGGCCCTGTCTCCCCTGGAAGATTCCTCCAAGGACATGAAACTGCTGATCAAGGACCTCCTGGAGCTGCTGCCTCTGGAAGGGGCCTCTGCGCACGGCCGTGACAACGCCCTCAACCTGCTCATCAAGGTGGTGCCCAGGAAGTCACCAAAGGAGACCAACAACAGCATGAGCCTCTGGGTGATCGACCAGGGTGAGTGAAACAGCCTGCAGCATCCCGCTGGGCCGTCACACCCCTCTGCCTGGGGCAATGTGTGCCTTGGCTCTGCAGGAGCGAGGTGCCTGCGCGTCCCATTTTGCTCCTCGCTGGGTGCCTGAGCTCTGTGTTCTCCTAGGCCTGAAGAAGATTCTGGAGGTGGGCAGCACAGTGTGCGGAGCCCCGGGCAGCCTGCCCGTGACAGAGAACACCCGGATGAGCGCCTCGGTCCTACTGAGCAAGCTTTACGAGGACCTGAAGTGTGATGCTGAGAGGGAGAACTTCCACCACTTGTGCGAGGACTACGTGAGGTGAGCCCGGGGCAGAGGAGGGCTCCATCCTGTGCAGCCAGGAGCATTCTGCTGCTGTCCCTGCCTCCGCTGGAAGTGGCAGCACCCTGTTCCCAGGCTTCTTGCTTTTAGTGGTAAAAGCAGAGTGCAGAGCAGCAGGGACCTGCCATGCTGCTGGTCCGGCAGGGCAGCACGGCGTGAGGCTGGTGGGGATCAGCCTTATCCCTCCTGGCCTTCTTCCCCTGCAGGAGCTGGTTTGAGGGGCACGAGCTGGCCGGGAAGCTGCGGGCCATACAGACGGTGTCGTGCCTGCTGCAGGGCCCCTCAGACGCTGGGAACAGGGTGCTGGAGCTGGAGGGGATCATGGACAGCGTGCTGTCCCTCTGCGCCTCCGTCTGCGAGGCCCACCAGCTGGTGGCGGTGGAGGCGCTGATCCACGCTGCTGACAAGGCCAAGCGCGCGTCCTTCATCACGGCCAACGGCGTCAGCCTGCTCAAGGAGATCTACAAGCACAGCGAGAGGGACAGCATCCGCATCCGGGCGCTGGTGGTGAGCGCGGCAGGGCAGGAGGAGCAGCAGTGCGTGGGGCTGGGTGGCTGTGGCGGCTGTGGTGCCATCCTGTCCCCGGTGGGGGGCTGCCACGGGGGCACTGCGGCCTCCAGCCCTGACGCTCTGCTCCTCACAGGGGCTGTGCAAGCTGGGATCTGCCGGAGGCACTGACTTCAGCATGAAGCAGTTTGCTGAGGGCTCCACGATGAAGTTAGCCAAGCAGTGCCGCAAGTGAGTGCTGAGGACGGCGGGGTGCGCTGGGGGGGGGAGCCCTGCAGGGAGGGCTCACGGGGCCGTCTCGCAGGTGGCTGTGCAATGAGGCGATCGACACGGGCACGCGGCGCTGGGCTGTGGAGGGCCTGGCCTACCTCACTTTTGATGCGGATGTCAAGGAGGAGTTCGTGGAGGACAAGGCAGCGATGCAGGCCATGTTCCAGCTGGCCAAGGTGGGCGCTGAGCGCTGTGGGGCGAATGCTGGGTGGGGGGAACGTGCCCGAGTGCCCCTCCTGATGGAGGGGGTTGGGGCTCCTCCTGCGGGGCTGTGGCTGGGGTGTGCACAGGTGGTGCTGAGCGGGCTCAAGCCCTGCTCTGTCCTGTGTCACGGGTGCGACGAGTGTCCCATTTCCCCTGCAGTCGGAGGACAGGAGCGTGCTCTATGCAGTTGCCTCCACGCTGGTGAACTGCACCAACAGCTACGACCACGAGGAGCCAGACCCCCAGATGCTGGAGCTGGCCAAGTACGCCAAGCAGCACATTCCAGAGCAGCACCCCAAGGTGAGGGGGGGAATGATTGCAGGAGCTGTGGGGAGCCTTGGCCCCACGGGACAGCAGGGGGGTGGGATAGAGCCTGGCCTCCGCAGCAGGGACGGGGTGTCCGGAGATAGAGTTTTGATATCTTTGGGGTGATGGCCTCGGGGCTGGGCAGCAGGAGGCAGTGGCAGGTCGGGTGTTGGCTCTGACTGGAGCGGTGCCCCTGCCCGGGACAGGACAAGCCGGACTTCGTGAAGCGGCGGGTGCGCAAGCTGCTGACGGCTGGCGTGGTGTCAGCCCTGGCCTGCATGGTGAAGAGCGAGAACCCGGCACTCACCAACTCCTGCCGGGAGCTGATCTCCAGGTACAGGGGGCAGGGGCAGGGGCGTGGGAGCTGCCCTCTGAGGCTGCTGGCACCCTCCTGCAAACCTAGTGCCTGTGGGGAGCCCGGGCTTCTAGGAGCAGGGGGGTGTCTGGCACAGCCCGGGCCCACTGCTGGTATTGGGGTGGCACTGGCAGCCACCACAGCAGGTTCCAGACTCCGTGTGCTCCTGCCCTGTCTGCAGGGTGTTCCTGGCCCTCGTGGCGGAGGCAGAGGACCGAGGCGGTGTGGTTGCACAGGGAGGAGGCAAGGTGAGGTGGTGGGTGCCACGGTGCCCCCAGCCCGTTCCGTGGGGAGGGCTGGGGCTGTGACCAGCTGTAGGACAGGCTGATGCATCTCCATCTGCAGGCTCTCATCCCGCTGTCCCTGGAGGGCACTGAGGTGGGACAGACCAAGGCGGCTCAGGCCCTGGCGAAGATCACCATCACCTCCAACCCAGAGATGGCGTTTCCTGGGGAGCGGGTCAGTGTCAGCACCAAGGGGCCAAAGACCCTGGTGGTTTCCACAACGGCCTGATTGTCCAGGCCTGGCCACGAGGAGCAGTTCTGCCTTTCTGCTAGGTCTGCCCATACCCCATGCAGGGGCAGAGTCCCTGCCCCCTGGTTTGAGCCCTCCACTGCTCTTTCCACAGATCTACGAGGTGGTGCGGCCCCTGGTCAGCCTTCTGCACCTCCAGCGCACAGGCCTGGAGAACTTTGAGGGGCTGATGGCGTTAACCAACCTGGCTGGCATCAGCGAGAGGCTGCGGTAGGGGCAGTGGGGCCAAGGCCCAGCTCTTCCAGGCGGGGGGAAAGGGGAACCCAGGTCCAGATGGGTGCTGCCCTGGCCAAAAGTGGTGTGGGGGTAGCACTAACGGGCAAGGAGTGCTCACCCCTGGCCTGCTGCAGGCAGAAGATCCTGAAGGAGAAGGCTGTGCCCATGATCGAGGGCTACATGTTTGAGGAGCACGAGCTGATCCGGCTGGCTGCCACCGAGTGCATGTGCAACATGGCCATGAGCAAGGAGGTGAGGGCCGTGCCGCGCTGAGCCGGCGGCTGCTTGCCCTGGGCTGCTGGCCACCTCCCTCCCTGCTGCCTGCAGGTGCAGGAGCTGTTCCTGGCCGAGGACAGCGACCGGCTGAAGCTGATGGTGCTGTACAGCGGGGAGGAGGATGAGAAGCTGCGGCGGGCAGCCTCGGGGACCCTGGCCATGCTGACCGCGCTGCATCCCCCCATCTGCAAGAGGATCCCGCAGGTGGTGAGTGCCCGGGGCGGGGGCAGCCTCGTGTGCCCCCCACCCTATGTGCTGGGGCTGGCTGGGGGCCCGCTGCTGTACGGCACCCAGGGGCACGGTGGGGCGCGGTGCTGTGCCTGCCCACGGTGCTGAGCGCCCCGCTCTGCCCGCAGACGGTGCACTGGCTGGAGATCCTGCAGGCGCTGCTGCTCAGCCCCAGCACGGAGCTGCAGCACCGCGGGGCCGTGGTGGTGATGAACATGATGGCAGCCGAGCGCGGCGTGGCGGAGCAGCTCATCGCCAGCGAGATGCTGGAGATCCTCTCGGTGCTGGCCAAGGACCGGGACAAGCCGCGCGTGGCGCAGGCGGCGCAGGAGGCGCTGGCGCAGGCGGTGTCTTACGGCCTCATCAAGCCCGGCCCCGGCCAGGACTGAGCCCGGGCCCGGGCCTGCCCTGCACACGCTGCTCCGGGCTTGCGCTCACCGCACGCACCGCGCTGCACCGGGACCGACCGGGGGCTGCCCGCTGGGACCGGGCCGGGCCCCCCCCGCCCGCTGCCGCCGTGCCCCGGGGTGAGAGGGGGGAGGACGGGGCCCAGCGCCACCTCCACCACTGCCAGTGCCTTAACGGGGGGCGGCACCGGGGGCACCGCACTGAGGCTGCTCCTGAGCAGCAGCACTGCCTCCGCGTCTGTCTGCACCCCCCCGACGGGGCGGGCCCGGTGCCGCCCCTCCCCTCCCCTCCCCGTCCCGTTCCCCCCGCCCCGCCATGGCGGCCCCGCGCCGCTGCTGGCTCGTGTTCGGCTTCAGCGCCGAGGAGGCGGCGGGGGAGCCGTCCCCGGGCCCGGGGCCGCGCCGCCTGGAGCCGGGCCCCGAGGGGATCGAGGGGCTCGAGGGGATCCGCCGCGTGTGGCCCGCCTGGAGCTACGCCGTGCTGGACACCGGTGAGCGGCCCCCCGGGGCGGCCGGCACGGGGATGCTGCCGGGCCCCCCCGGGCCCCCTCCCGGCCCCGGAGCCCCCCGGAGCCCCGGCGGGCGCTGAGCCGCTGCTCCCGCAGGCGCGGGGCTGGAGGTGCTCGGCGCGGGGCTGCGGCGGCGGCTGCCGGCGGGGTGCGCGGAGGCGCTGCCGTCCGAGACTCACGTCCTGCTGCTGCGGGGGGGACCGGGGGCGGCGGCCGAGGCCTGGCCGCGGGCGGCGGCGCTGCGGGGGGAGCTGCGGGGAGCCCCCGCCTGGCGCCGGGCCCTGCCGCCGGGCCCCCCCCGCCCCCCGCTGCCGCTGCTGCCCGGCGGCTTCGCGGTGCCCCGGCCGCCCTTCTTCTGCGAGCTGCCCCCGGCCCCGCCGCTCCGCGCCCTGGCGCTGGGCCACGAGCACGTCCTGGCGCTCGGGGCCAACGGCGAGGTCTACGGCTGGGGCGGCGGCAGGTGAGAGCCGGGGGGGCTCAGGGGGCTGGGGTGGCGCCGGTGGCCGGGGTGCAGGTGAGGGGTGCTGGTGGTGGGGGGGGGGGCTCTCAGCTGGTAGCACGCAGGTGGAGGCAGGGTTCAGGGCTCCGGTGTCGCCAGCACGCTAAAACGGTGCCGCACTGCGTGGGCAGGCAGCTGAGCGAGCAGCACGCGCACCCGCCAGCACCTCAAGGGCTGTTCTTCTGCTGCTGCACATAAATACTGTGCTAAAGTCATTCCTGAGTCTTGGTTCTTGATTACGTGCAACTGGTCCTGAGCAGCAGCCCTGCGAGCTGCCCCCTGCCCCCTGTGCTGCTCGGGCTCGGGGCAGAGGCTGTCCCGGTGCCTTCCCTCGTGCCCCGTGTCAGGGCTGGCACTGGGGAGGCACCTGGGGGTGCAGCAGGGACAGAGGCACTCGGGTTCTGTCCCGGCCCTCTCTGCTCGGCGTTCCCAGGCCGTGCCGTCAGGCCTCAGGTGCAGTGGGGACCAGCGGGTTGTCCGCAATATTTTTCCCTGTTGGTACTGGTTTTGCTACTTGTACCCAAATCTGGCGTTTCCCATACTATTACCTGGGCAGGCTCAGCCTGGCGTGTTGTTGCTGATGCTGTGACATCAGCCGGGTGCCACCGGCCTTACAGGACTCCCTGAAAGTCCCTGCGGGCACTGGTCTCACCCTGTCTGTGTGGGGTTCACCGCAGGCAGCACCTGGGTCTGTCCCCATTGAGTCCGACCACACCGGGGGGCCTGGGGTCACGCTGCCAGCCCCGTGCTTGGTGAATGTGTCTGGGTACGGCCGTGCGCCCCCAGCCCTGAGCAGACGTTACCAGCACAGCTGCGGGGTCGGGGTGTCGGTGGGCGATCTGCCCTGACCACGTTAATTGCCAATTACAGATAGTGACAGGGTAGAAGGGGTAAGTTAGCGATCTCCTTGCTGCTTACGTGAAACAAAGCCAACAAAGATTAAAGCAGAGCTGTGCAAACTGGAGTGTCTGCCTCCCTCGGTACTGCCGATGTGCTCGGGTGCATTTTGTTTCCTGGCCTCAGGTCGCTGGTGTTTGGGGGCTGTTGTCACGGCGGGCTGGTTGTCATAGCAAACAGCATTAGCTCAGCCCTTACAGTTCCAGATATTGCCATATTGCATCGTTCTTGCCTTCTTTCTTTACCTTTAAAGGAAAGGTTTACACACCTCACTTGCTGTCGTGTATTTCAGGATTAACTTTTTGCAGACACTGAATGCCGTGGTTAAGCTTTGGTTACTAGAAAAGTATGAGAAGCCTCTCGTACTTCTTTGTGCCTCTTCCTTCAGCGTTAGGGCTCTGCTGAATATTGCCGTAGCTGTTCGTCTGGGGCCCTCCAGCCTTCAGGGACGATTGCTTAAAGCAGCCCTCAGCTCCCCAGCAGTGCCCCTCTCCTTTCCCTGCTGGTGCTAACCCCGCTGTGCCAGCACCTGCAGCCTTGCAGGTTAAGTTCCTGACATGCAAATCAGCTCAGATATAAATGACACAGCAGGGGCATGTTCATTATGTTACAGTTGTGCCGTGCGTCGTTCCTTTGCACGTAGTTACTGCACCACGCAGCCCCCCCAGTCCCAGCTGTGTACCACCAGCGGCCGTGCCCCGGCCTCCCAGTGCCCTCGCTGCCGGCTGTGGCCCTGGCGCTGCTGCACAGCCGGGGGGTGGCAGGAGGCCGGGGGGCGTCGGGGCTGTGGGCACCGGGTGCGGGAGGTGCCCGTCCGTCTGTCCGCGTGCATCTCCCCACAGGCACGGGCAGCTCGGCCACGGGGGCCTGGAGTCGGAGCAGCAGCCGCGGCTGGTGGAGGCTCTGGCTGGCGTGCCCATGCGGGCAGTGGCGGCGGGCGGGTGGCACTCGGCCAGCATCAGCGGTGAGGGACCGGGGGTGGGGGGTGTGGTGTTGGCAGTGTGGGGCCGGCTGCCCCGTGTGGTCCCGGGCAGGGCCGGTGCTGGTGCCCATTCCTGGTGCCCTCGAGCACTCGGCCGCTGCCGCGGGGTCTGAGCCGTGCCCTGACCAGGGCCGCCCCGTGCGTGCTTGCAGAGGGGGGGGACCTCTACATGTGGGGCTGGAACGAATCGGGCCAGCTGGCGCTGCCCTCCAAGGCGGTGGCAGAGGAGCAGGAGCAGGATGAGGACGCAGGCACAGGTAAGGATGCTGCTGGGTGCAGCGAGGCCGTGCCCAGCCCCTGGGATGGCGCAGCCAGGGCTGAGCGCCGCTGTTCTCAGGGGCTGCGGAGCCGCCGCCGCCCCCCGGGAGCAGCCGGGCGCCGCCTTCATTTCCATCCAGGCGTTCCCGGCCCTGCTGGACCTGCCCCAGGACGTGGAGGTTGGTGCCGTCAGCTGCGGGTCCCGGCACACGGCTGCAGTCACACGTGAGTGCCCGGTGGGTGGGTGGGGGTGGCAGCCCCTGTGGTGGGGGCGATGCCGGCTGATGGGCGCTGTCCTGGTTGCAGGAGACGGCGAGCTCTACACCTGGGGCTGGGGTAAGTGAGGTTTTTGCTCCGTGATGGCCCGGTGTGACCTGCTGGTTGCCTTGCCCCTTTGTTTGCTGGCTGTTAATGCTTTATTTGGACTGCTCACCTTCCATCCTTGCCCAGGGGATGAAATCCCTCCTGTGGGCCCCGTCACACAGCTGCTGTGTCTGCAGGTAAATACGGGCAGCTGGGCCATGGGGACAACACCAGCTCTGACCGGCCCCGGCGCGTGGAGCACCTGGTGGCAGAGGGGCTGCGGGCACAGGAGGTGGTGTGCGGGCCCTGGAACACCTACGTGTGCGTCCTGGAGCAGTGAGGGGCACGAGGCTGTCCCACGACCATCGCTGTGCGCATGCAGCAAAGGGCGACAGAGGAGAGCTCTGCTCCTACCCCACGGAGCAGCCCTCGGCCCTTGGAGGTCGGGCAGAGGCTGGGCAGACACCATGGGTGGGTTTCCCCCCCCGGGACCACAGCTCAGGCCGAGGAGCTGTGCTGCTGCCTCAGGCAGCTGGGGTTGCACTAGTGATAAAGACAGAGCAGGACTACATGGGTTTATTAAATCTCTTTTTGTAACAGCTGCGGTAGTGCTTCGCGTTGCATACACGTACAGGTGCCCAGCTGCTCCAGCCCCTCTGGGCACAGGCAAGGTTTACAGAAAGAAGGCAGGGGCTGAAGAGCCAGGCCCAGCCCTCTCCCCCCCCCCTCCTGGCCTCCAGGGTGATGCTGGAGGAGCCTTTGGTCACCCCAACAACCACACAAACAGCAGGGGCTATATACATGGATACGCGTTATTCCCATAAACAGTATATACAGAGTTACAGAGCAAGGGAACAGAACCTGGGGAATAAATAACAGCAAGTGGGGGAGTGTAGTGACAACAAGGTGCAAATTAGTTCTGATCAGGGACAGACACACATACAGAGCTTCATTAACAAAAGGTGCAAACGAGCCCCCCCCAGCACGTCGTACCACCAAGCCATGCGCTGTCCTGCCCAGGAGCAGCAGGCGAGAAAGGGCAGGCAGGCGATGGGGGGCACGTGCAGGGGGACAGGCAGCCCCGCACCAGGGGCTCGGGGATGGGCAAAGGACAGGGGAATCAGGCCACCTGGGGGCTCCAGGGGGCAGCTGCAGTGCCCAGCCTGGGGGTGAGTTGAGACCCTCAGCCACAAGCCCAGGCTGCAGCAGTCCTCGGGGGCCAAGGGAGGCTGCTTAGAGGAACCTCAGCTAAAGCAAGCCCTAGCTAAAGCATGGCTGCTGTGCTGTTAAGGAAGAGCCGGGTAGATAATACCTACAGATATATGGAAGGTTAAAAAAAAAGAGCCTTTGGTAAGAGGCACCAAGGCCAGCTCTCTGCACTAGGTCCTGTCTGTCCCAGAGCCCTGCCACCTCACCCCACTGCCCAGCCAGGCTCCCGCAGAAGCCACCACCCGCTGCTACGCTACCCCAAGTTTGTTCGCAGTCTTTAATCACAAACAGTCACAAGAATTCCCCAAATAAAAGCAAAACATGTACAAGTGTCCTTTTCCTTCCCCTGCCCTCGCAGGCAGGAGCACCCCACCCCGCAGAGGGGGGGGCCGGCCAGACTAATGCTGGGCCCTAGCTAAAAGCCAAGCCGAGGGCACGGCCTGGGTGCTGCGGGAGCGCTGCCCCGGAGCAGGGACTCACTGCGGCTGCGCAGGGCCAGAGCCGGGGGCAGCGCCTCAGCAGTAGGCGTTGGTGGTGGTGGAGTTGAGCACGCGGGAGCTGGTGTCACACCTGGAAGCCTTTGAAAGTTCGCGCTGTGGACACAAGAAGCAGGAGACAGGGGGGTGAGGGGTGGGGGCCGCAGGCAGTGCTGGTGCTCGGGGCAGCGGCTTTAGGCCACGCTGTGCCCCTGCTGGGCAGAGACAGCAGCCAACACCCCCCCTGCTTCAGGACAGGGCAGGAAGGCAGCTGGGAAAGATCCCTGAGGCTCCCAGGAGCAGGAGCCCTGGGCCGGGAGTCTCATCCCTCCCTCCTGCAGCTGGCAGCTCGCCGCCTGTCCTGGGAAGCGCTTCCAGATCAGCGGGACAGCGAGGGAGCAGGCTGGCAGGGCAGGAGCACAGGCAGGCTGCAAGCACAGGACCAGCCGTGTGCAAGCAGTGCAGGAAGGGAGCGCTGCCTCTGCCCAGCACAGGGGGGCCGGCAGCCAGCACCCTCCCTCCCTCCCCCCGGGCTGCCACAGGCACAGGATCAGGGCCTGATGAGGAACCCCCAGCGCTGGCTGTGTTCCAGCAGGAAGGGATGCTCCTGGGCATCAGGAGAGGTTAAAGCCTGGGCTCAGTGAGGGCTAAGGGAAGGGCAGAGGCCTCCAGCCAGCAAAGCTCCATCCACCAGCAAAGACCAACCCCCCCCAGCACACACCTCCCCCAGGGAGCTCCCCAGCTCCACTCCCCCAGCACAGCTCAGGCCAGCAGGAGGTGGGACAAGGCAGGGTCCCTCGGGACGCTGAGCTGAGGGGCACAGCAAGCCGAGCATGCAGGGGCTGAGGCCATGCAGGCAGTGGGAAAAGGACCCGGGGGCAAGCAGGACCCTCCCGCCTCTCCCAGCAACCAGGTTAGGACAGCGACAGAGCGCTGCTGCTGCCAGCTGCCCGGGCCCAGGAAACACCACATCAAACCCCGGGGCTCAGTGCTCGGCTCAGGCAGCTGGGGACAGGCCCAGTTCCAGAGAGCAGCCCCGCCACTGGACAGGGCTGTGCCTGGCACAGGGACACACCGCCGGCAGGGCCTGGCTCCTGTAGGGGCTCGGGGGCTGCCCTGGGCAGCAGAACTCCTCTCGTCTCCATCTGTCCCCCCCGGGGCTGCTCAGGGCCACGCAGGATGCGAGCGGTGCTTGGCCTCAGCCGCCCAGCCTCAGCGCTGAGTTCCTGCCGTGCAGCCCCCACCCGGTGCCGGGGGCGCTGGCAGGAGCAGGCGCTCTGTGCAGCGGGGGCCGCGGGGCTGTGGGAGGGGGCGCAGGCCCCGCGCGGCCGGGGGGAGGCAGGTTTAGAAGAGGTGAATTACCGCAAACTCAGAATAGGTGCTGGCAACAGAACTAACGCTGTAGTTACGCTGGGCAGGGGCTGTGGGGGTGCACCCACCGCTCAGGGTGGTTCCGTTCAGCTGCGACACGTTCTCCTTGTTCTGCTCCCTGTGTCCTGGCCGGGGGGGCTTCAAAGCCACGCGGCTGGGGGTCCGAGCCTGACCAAGCTGCTGGAATGGAAGACAGGAGGCATGAACCAAGGGGGCTAGAAGCCTGCGCTAGCCTCGCTGCTCTGCAGTACCGGAGGAACTCCAACCTCCAGGAACCCTTCGTGGTCTGGGGCCCAATTCTGACCCAGGACACATAGGTCAGGTAATGAAGACACCTTCCCGCACCCCCCCAAGCTTCAGGCTTGGCACAGACACCTGCCAGAAATCTGGGCTAGGGGGAGTCTTCCTGAATGCTGCCCACCCTCCTTTTCCCCCAGGCTGTGCTGGCCCCACAGACATCCCACCAGCCATGCAGCTGCCCAGTTGGGGCTTGGACCAAGGAGCAGCCTGTGTGCGCCTGGAGCCTGGCAGGGGAGGCAGGTGAAGCAGCACAGCAAGGCAGGGCTCTCCAGCCCCCCTGCGGGCAGGGATGCCCCAGAAGGGCCCTCACCTTCCCTCCGGAGGGCGGCAGCCGAGAGGTTGGTGAGTGGTAGAGAGTTGCCCCGAAGGCCGAGCGAACAGTGCTGTTGGGGGTGGCGCTGGAGATGGAAGTGCCAGTTGAGCTGGGGGAAAGCAGAGCACCAGGTGAGGGGGGAGGAAGCCGGGGCTGTGCCACACCAGGAAAGGCACTGTGGAAGCACCAGCCGCACAGGGCCTTCCAGCTCCGGGGCACCCCAACAAGTCCCACCGCCCCCACGGAGAGAAGTGGCCACAGCCCGGCCCCATTCCTGCATCCCTTACCCTGCTGCAACACCCCTGAGCCCTTCTGGCACCTTTGTGAGACTGATCCTAGAGGTGGGGCTCTGACCACCACACACACTGTGTCGTGCCAGCACCGAAGTGCCAGCAGGGTCCCAGCCAAGCCCTCTGCCTGGCGTGGACAGTTTACCTTCCTTACTTTGCCAGGCGTGTGTGGGGTGAGGACGCGACGCTTGATGGGTGTCCGCGGGGTGCTCCCGTACATCATCTCTGCCTCGATCTGGCGGCTTTTCTTCAGGTGCTGCGTGAGAGAGCTGCGCTCACCACCCCGAGCAGAGGAGCAGCGGGGAGCTGGCTGCTCTGCTCTGGGTCACTGCCCAGTGCCAGGGGAAAGGCAGGCTTCCGATGGTGGGCAGCAGCCCTGCAGCCAGAAGCAGGTACTTTGGGGGAGATTTACAGGTAGCCAGAGCCAAGCCAGAGTCCTGGTGCAGCTGAGGCCAAGAAAAAGGCTCAGCACACAGACAGCAGCAGACACCAGTCCCAGTAAGGAAGGTGACCACGTACAGAGCCAGCAGGAAGAGAAGACCCCCATCTCCCTAGGGAGCTGACAGCAGCAGATGGCGAGCCCGGGGCTGGGGCAGTTCTCACCCCCTGAGCAGGGCTGGGCCACCAACAGCCTGGAGCCAGAAGAGGCTCCTGGAGGCCAGGAGAGCACATTCAGCTCCGCACTCACCCGCTCCTGCTTCTCCTTCTCTTTCTCCATGCGGTACAGCTGCCACTGCTCCGCCACATACTCCATGAACTGCTGCCCCTTCACCAGGAAAGCGTCCTCATGCTCCTGCTCCCAGGCCTGGACCCTGCTCTCCAGCTCCTCCTGCAGCTGATGGGGACACACGGGCAGAGTCAGGAGGCTGCCCCAAGATACTCCTTGCTGCCTCTAAGTGCTCCACTTCTGCTTGGTCACTGCTCTATGTGTCTACCCAGAACTGCAGCTCCTTCTCCCTCCAGGTCTGAACCTACCTTGGAAAGCATCTTCTGCAGCTTTGCTCGCTGCTTCTCTTCTTTCAGCAGGCTCCCCCCGCGGTTGGCAAAGCGGTTGGGGTCGGTTGTTTTCCTCTAGCATAGAAAAAGGAGGTGAGGAGAGAGGCAGGCACAAAGCTCTCACTGTGCAGCCCTGCACAGCACAGCAGGCTCTGCACCACAAGTTGTCCTGGAGCTCTGACACAGCGCCCCATCCCCTCACCATGCTGCTAGGGCTCCCCCCGCCTCCCCGCTCCCTCAAGGACACTGCACACCGGAGGGTAGGCCCACAGGGCCCAGAGACCCAGCACTGCCTGAGCAATACCTCTAGCTCCAGGAACAGCTTCCAGTTCTCCTCCCATTTCTGGACAGCCTCAAACAGCTCCTTGTGTGTCTCATAGTAGTTCTTCATCCTCCCCACCTCAGCATCGTGGAGCTGGAGCAGGGTCTCTGTGTAGTCCTCTGGAGAGATACAGCAGCAGGTTCAGGAGGCAGTCAGGGACCCAGCACCACATCCAGCAGCACTTCTCTGCAGCCGGTCTGCTGGCAGGCAGCCTGCAGCTCCCCCAGGGGAGTCTGAGAGCCAGCACCCACCATCATAATAGGGGCTGAAGCCTTCTCTCTGCTCCTGGCTGTAGAAGCATTTATCCCAGTACTCAGCCAGCTCCACCCGGATCGCCTGGATCACAGACTTCATGTTCTGCAGCTTCAGCTCCTCCAGACGGTCCACTTCTAACTGCAGCTGCCGTGAGATCAGAGCACAGGCTCAGAAGGCAGCAAGAGCAGAACTGGATTTGTGTTCTGTGTAAGCCAAATTCTAATGAGCCAGTCACCAGCACCTCCACCTGCGAGGGCAGGCTTTGGCTCACAGCACAGACTGCTGGAAGCTGCCCCTGCACTCTGGCTGAGCAAACAAGCGTGCAACCCAGAGCTGCTGCTCCCCTGCCCTCCCCCCTCCACAGACAGCAGGACAGTCCTTAGGTCCTTACAGCTTTCCTAGTTTTGGCTCTGGATCCGGTCATGTGCACTGCGAAGGACTCCCTCTCCTCCGCGGGAACCTGCAGCCTGTCCCAGAGCGCAGTGATCCTGGATCGCAGCTCCATGCACATGGCCTCGTTCAGGGACCGCCGGGCCTCCAGCTGCAGCAGGGAGAGCGGGGTCAGCACCAGAAGGGCCCGATGCTAACCAGGCAGGCTGCTGGCCCTGCTGCAGCCAGCAGAGCAGCCCGTTCATCCTCCCACATCTCCGTGCAAGAGCTCCTAGCAGGAGGCTCTAACACAACGCGGTTACTGAGCGCAGAGCAGCCATGCTCTGTACCACGCTGCCAGGCAGCCTCCACAGCCCCACGGTCACAGCAACGCTGCCTCGAGGTGCCAACGTACCTGCTGCAGCAGGTTCTGGAGGGCAGCGATGTTGTCTGTGGACAAGCAGAAGGCTTCCTCATCCTCACACACCACCTCCCGCTCAAAGCTCGTGTCCGGGGTGTGGTCCAGCTCCTCCATGCAGAGGATGACCTGCCGCTTGATACTGACAAACTCCTCTCGCCTTCGCTCCTGCAGGTGACGAGCCCTGTGAGAAGCCCGTGGGCACCGTCCCCACCCCCCCAGGGAGACCTCACCCACCCCCCGCTCACCTTCTCGGCGCTCAGGGAGGCCAAGTGGCGCCGGTAGCGGTCCAGCTCCTCCAGGCTGGGCACGGCGTTGCTGTCGATGCCAAACGGGGACACGCAGAGGATGTCGCACAGGTCTCGGTCTTGTTCTTGCAGAGCTTTCAGCTCCTGCTGCCTGTCCCTCTTCTGCTTTAACATCACTTGCACGCGGGTGCGCAAATCCTTCTCCATCTGCAGGATGGTGCTCTCCTCCTCTGCCTAGGACAGACCAGAAAACCACTCTCCTCCACGGCTCTTGCGGACCTGACTCACACCCAGAGCTCCTTGAGTGTAAAGCGAGGGACACAGCCCCCAGCTCTGAGCAGAGCTCCCCAGGGAGGTGCAAATGCAGCAGCAACGCTCAAACCAAGGTGCTGCAAGGCACCGGGCCTCTCACAGCCACCTCCCAGCATGGGGGCTGCAAGGACCCACCCAGCCTTGGGCTCCACCGAGCTTTTTGGGGTTTTGGGCGCGCCTGCATGGGGAGCCCCGGCAGCAGCAGCAGGTGCCCACCTCGAAGGGGTCCAGGCGCAGCTCCCGGCACAGGGCGTCCAGCTCCTTGCGGCACAGGGCGATGCTCTTCAGGAGCCGCTCCTTCAGGCTCTCCTCCTCCGCCACCATCATGTCCAGCAGGCTCTGCGCCGGGCACGGCACGGTGAGAGGCTGGGCACCGGGGACAGGGGGGGGGGTCAGGACGGGGGGCACGGGGCCCGGCGCTCACCTTGATGTGCTTCTTCACCACGTCGGTGCGCTCCAGGCGCTGCTCCTCGGGGATGCCGATCTCCTCCCAGATGTCCCGCAGCGCCGCCAGCGCGCGGTTCAGGCACGACACGGCCTCGGCCGCCAGCACCTCGCTGCGGGCACCGCCACGGCCCGGCACGGGTCAGCGGCACCGGCACCGGGACCACGGCACCGCCCGGGCCCTCCCGCCGCGCCCCCCGCTCCCAGCCCGGACCCGGTCCCGGTCTCTCCCTCGCCACCCCCCAGTCCCGCCGCCTCCGTCCCCGATCCCGGTCGCGGTCCCCTTGTCCCGTCCCGTCCCGTCCCGTCCCGTCCCGTCCCGTCCCGTCCCGTCCCGTCGCCGCCGCCCCCACCTCTTCCTCATGGCCGCTGCCCGCCCGCTGCCGCCGGTGCCGGGATTCAAACTGGCAGCGGGCGGCGCTGATTGGCCGCAGCCCCGCGGCCGCGTCACGCCGAGCCCCGCCCTCAACCGCCGCCCGGCCCCGCCCCAAGCCGGCCGCCGACCAATCGCGGCGAGAGGCGGCCGCGGCCGCCGCCCAATCGCGATGCGGATCGGCTCCGGCGGCTCTGGCGGGACTCCGCCCCCACCCCGGGGAGGCGTGGGCCACGTGACCCCTCCCGGCGGCGCTCCCGGCTGCGGGCGGCGCCCCAGCGTCACGGCGCATGCGCGCGCAGCAGTCAGGAGGAGGCGGGGCGGGGCTGGGGGGGGGCGGTTTATTTGGGGGGGGGGGGGTTGGGGGGGGTCAGCTGCGGGGCTCCGCCATCGCCTCCAGCAGGCGGCCGCTGCTCGTCACGGCCGTGGTCAGGAAGATGAAGCGGCACCCTGCGGGACGGGGGGGGGGGACAGGGCTCAGCGCACAGCCCCGCGCCGTGCCCCCCCCCCGGTACCCCCCCGGTACCCCCCCCCCCGGTACCTCTGTCCCGGCCCAGGAAGCGCAGCGCCGCCATCTCGGAGCAGGTGCAGCCGCCCAGGAACACGGCCAGCACCGTGCGGCCCCCGGCCCGGCCCGGCCCCGCCTCGGCACCGCCACCTGCAACGCACGGAGACAGCGGGGTCCCGGCCCCCCCCCCCCCCCCCAAACCCCCCCAGCCCCCTGCCCTACCTGCCTCCGAGAACTCGGGGCCGCCCAGCAGCCGCAGCACCTCCTCCAGGCCCTGCCAGCCCCGCCGCTCCAGCACCTGCCGGCGGGGGGCGGCTCAGGGCCTGCACGCACCGGGGGGCAGCGGGGGCCCGAGGCCGGGCTCCCCCCGGGGTGCTCGGTGCCCGCCCCCCCCCGCCCCGGGCCCACCTGCTCCATGAGCTTGCAGCTCAGGGGGGTGTAGGCGCCGCTGAAGACGTAGGCCATGTCCCGGGGCACCTTCAGGTCGTACTCGCCGTCCAGCCGGGGGATCTGCGGGGACGCGGTGCTCGCTGTGAGGTGGCAGAGCCAGCCCCACATCGCACCCCATGCCATGCCTGGCGTGGCCCTTGCAGCAGGGGCAAGGTGAGCCAGGCAGCCAGCAGCAGCCCCGGGGTGTGACAGCCAGAGGATGCAGAGCTCTGGGGCAGCCAGGGCACAGGCCGGGCACAGCTCTCCGGCCAGCAGCAGCCCAGCAGCCCCCCAGGACGTACCAAGCCCAGCTTCTTGCTTATGGCTCGGAAGTTGCTCTTCCTGGCCAAGGAATTAAAGGCGTCTGTGATCTTTCCTGGAAAAGAAGACAAAAGCAGCTCAGAGCCCCGGGACGTGGTGCAGCAGCTGCCAGCTGGGGCCCGGTGGCTGTGCAGGCACCAGGCTCTGGCAGAGAAGGGGCAGCAGAGCCAGCACCAGCCCCAGGACTGCCCCCAGCCCGGCAGCTCCCTGCCGTGGGCTGCCCTGCCCCGCAGCTCCCCGTGGCTCTGGCTCTCACCAGCCGCTCGGTCTGTCACCAGCTTGCTGACCCTGCTCTCCACAGCCGTCAGGGTCTCCCCAGCTGCCTGCTCGGTCAGCAGCCCGATGCGCTTCAGGTTGTGGAAGGTCAGCAAGTGCTCGGGCCCATAGCTCTGGGGAGGGGGTCACTGGGATCAGTACGGAGCCCTGGCTGCCAGCACACACGAGGTAGCAATGTGCCACCTCCGTGGGGACAGGCAGGAGCCCCAGGAGGCTGCTTAGGGCACCCTGTGGGGCAGGCAGAGCCCCCGGCTCACACCAACCCCTGCAGGCAGTTGGCACATCCCTGGGGAGCACTGCAGCGTGGTGCCCCATGGCGAGCAGCAGGCAGGCAGCGATGCCCCGTCCCGTGCTCGCCCTGCGGGGGGCTCCCAGTAGGCTCACCTGCAGGTACTGGGTCTTCAGGGAGCGGAAGTCTTTGGGGTTGAGACCTGGGGGCACAGGGCACTGCTGTGAGCTGAGCCTGAGGCCCGTGGTGCTGCCCCCAGCACTGCCAGCCCCCCTCACCATTCTCCGTGATGGACAGCAGGCACATGAGGCGCAGGCTCTCAATGGGGGACACCTGCGTGGGGACAGGCTGTGAGCGGGCTGCCAGCCCCTGCGTGTCCCCGGGCACAGCCTGCCCCGCAGCACGGCTCTCACCTGCCGGTCGATGTGCTCCTCAATGAAGCTGGTGCTCTCCCGGATGTCAAAACCCTCCAGCAGAGCTGTGCAGGGGCAGAGGCAGAGTCACTTCACCCATTCCTGGGGCTCTCACCGCCTGGCTGAGGTTGGGTCTCAGCTCAGCCTCCCTGCCTGAACCCCGTGGGGAGGGGAAGGCTTGTGATGCTGGGCTGCCTGCCCGGCCACGTGTCAGCCCTGCAAGGACGTGGCTTGACCCTGCTTAAGACCTCAACACCCACCCCAACATGAACAGGGGCACCCAGGCTGTGAGACAGCCCAGACGTGGGGCAATGGGGCTGGGGGAGCCAGGGGGTGATGACAGACACAGAACCGTGCTCACAGTGCTCAGCCTTGATCATCTCCTGGAAGTCCTGCTTGGTTTTCTTTTTCATGATGGACTCGCAGGCACCAATATCTGCACAGCCAAGAGTTTTACACTTTGGGGGTGTAAGGGGCTCCACATACAGCTCATCCCCCGAGCCCCACTGCAGAGCTCTGCATGCACCAATGGTCCCTGCTGCCTGCCCACTGCTCAGACCCTCTGCCCCCCCCTCCCACGAGCTGGCAGCGCCCTGCAACCCCCCCGCTGCCCCAGCACCTACGCAGGCTCAGCAGACGATGCTCCTGTTTCAGTCCCTTCAGTTCCTGGGAGACGAAGTTCTTCATCTGCTTGATGTCCATGCCACGGCGCCGCTGCAGAAGGAGAGCACCGTGGCAGTGAGGTGGCTGCGGAGGGAGGCACCGGGGGTGCCCGCGCAGCCGGGTGGGACTCACATCGTACTGTGCCTGCAGGTTGCGAGACTTCTGGCTCAGGAAGCCAAACACGCTGGAGAAGTGCTCGTTCCGGATCTGGCTGAAGACCTGCAGAGAGCACCGCAGCTCCTGCACACCCGACCCACCAACACCTGCACCCCAGGCCCAGCGGCTCCGGTCCCTGCTCAGCCCCCTCCCGGTGCCCCGCGGAGCGCCAGCGTGACCCACTGCCACCACGGCACGTGGGCAGGACTCACTTTGTCCTGGGCATTGAGCAGCACCTTAACGCTCTTATCAGAGGAGGTGACTTCTGGCCCAAAATCCACGCTGCCTGCAGAGAAGGATGAGGAGTAGTGGAGTCACAGACTGGATCACAGAACGACAGCACGGCCCCACGTCACCCCGCTGCTGCCCTGCGACCTACCGCACTTGATGCGGAAGGTGTCGTCCACCAGCCCCTCGTACACCATCTGGGAGCACAGCGCCGTGACATAGTCTGTGTCTGCAAGGAGATCCGGCCGCTGTCCCGCTGCCTCCTGCCCTGTGCGCAGCCCCAAGCGCTCCCCCTGCCAGGCCCTGGCTGCAGCCTGACGCAGCCCCCACCTCTGTCCATGAAGAAGATGTTCCCGATCTCCGGATTCCTGCCCTGGCTGTCGCCCTCACTCTCCTCCTCCAGGTCCCGCCACAGCTCATAGCACATCTGCAAGGGGAAAAGCAGGCCAGTGCCTGTGGCACAGCTGCTCCCTGCTCCTGCTGAGGGCTGCAGTGGGGCACACGGCAGGCACCTCTGGCCGGGGCAGCGTGAGCCCTGCGGCTGCACCCACCTTGGCACACCTCCCGATCCCGTAGGCCCTGCCGAACGGCCCGTACAGGGAGTTCAGCAACTGCAGGGCTCGAGCAACCGAGTTGATCCAGCGGTGATCTCCCTCCTGCAGGGAGCACGGGAGCATCGGGGAGCGGCTCTGGGCAGGCCAGGCTGGAAATGGCTGCGTGCATCAGGAGCTGGGCTGGGGCTGGGGGAGCCGTGGGCTCAGTCCTGCTCCACACACACGGGAACACGCCAGGTGCCCAGAGCCACCCAGGGAGGGCTGGAGGGGGCAGCGCAGGGGAGCTGTGTGCAGAGAGATGGAGGCACCACAGCCCACCCGAGCAGCTCCCCAGGAAAAATCCACCCCAGGACAGGAGACCTGCAGTGAGGGGCTGAGAGGGCTGAGCAGGACACCATGCATTGACTCCCCACACAAAGCTCTTTTGTCCTGGGCCCAAGAGGTGAGTGCAGGGAAGGCTGCTGTCCTGCAGGGCAGCATCCCGGCAGGATCATCCTACTGACCAAGAAATAGTCGCGAAAGAACTCGGGCAGCTCCATGCTGATGATGTCCTCATCCAGGGGGAGCAGGTAGAAGGACCACTCATCGCAGGTGACATCTGAGCGCGGGACAGGGAAAGGCAACAGTCACCAGCCCCCTGCAGGAACAGCCCCAGGAGGCCTGGCAGCCCCACACACAGAGGGGGAGAACAGAGAGACGGGGCCTTCCCGGGGGAATCACTCCCTTCTTCCCCCAAGGCAGGGGCAAGGCCATCGCCCTCCCTGAGCACAAGGCAGAGGCACCGATGCCGCGCACACCCCGCCTGCAGCAGGCAGCCTCGCGTGGCCCTGCGGCTGCTGCCCCGGCTCCAGGCCCCACCAGCCTGGGGTGCCCGCACTGGGGTTCCCTTGGGGTGCTGCGGTGTCAGAGCCGCCACCAGCCAGCCCCCGGGGCAGGGGGGTGGCTGCAGGCAGCGCGGTCCCACTCACCTCCAAAGACTCCCTCCTCCTCCAGCACCATCTCACAGGCGTAGAACTGCAAGGCAGGAGGAGGCCCTCAGCCACAGGACGCTCTCCTTCCCGGACATCCCCCCCCCATCTGCTTTAGTGAAACATTTCTGGGGGGAAGGCAGGGGGCCGGACAGGCACAGCACGGCGGGGTGCTGGTGGAAGCAGCAGCCACTGACCTTCTGGGGGCTGAAGATGATCTTGTACTTGCGGCTCCGGCCTGACATCTTGTCGGCGTTGACAATATCTGCAGACAGAGCGCTTGCAGCCCCCACGGGCAGAGACCACCCCCCGCCCCCAACGGGCACAATGCCCCTGTAGGACAAGCGCCGGGGTCCTGCTCCTCACTGGACCCAAAAGACCTCAGCATGG